TAGCTGCATTCTTCATACAGTTCTGCTAAATTTTACGTGCTAATTCTGACAACCTGCAGTGGTGATGGAGCTTTGATATTATGCACGACCGATTGTCCTTTGTCTCCGTCCCCAGCTGTTTGGGACATTTGTGGTAGGGAAATGCAGGTCATTGTGACCGGTTGAAGACCTACTTCTTGGGGGTGTAGGGAAACTGGACATCTCTCCTCTTCCTGTCCAGAGAGGTAGGTCTCTACACTTTCGGCCGCAGGCGACTAAAATCCCCCTCTGGCCGATACTGTTAGTTCTGCGGCGCCAGTAATGGGCTTACGAGCGACATGGGCCGGTGAGGACAATCCCTCGGTTGTGCCCTGTCCCACATTCCCCGCAAAACCAACGCCTTCCTCAAGTGCGGATAAACTGAAGGAAGAAGGTGAATGGCGTGTCTTTGGTAGATACAGAGTGAAGAGTCGAACAGCGGGACCTCAGTCACAGAATGACTCCAAGGACAATGGCACCTACAGATCCATTATTTTTATCAGATCTAAAGGCGACGCCCCGGCTTCTTAGGAAAAAACAGGTAGAAGGTACTGAAATTGAATGAACCAGCCTGGGAAAAGATTTAAAACTTAAGAAACTCAAACAAGATTTAGATGGAAAACGGGACAAAAAAAAGTCGCTGGGTGTGCCGGGCTCCTCATCATCTGTCCCGTTTTTCCCTTCATCAAAAAATAATTTTGTACAGCCACCTCCGCCCAAATCACTGATAAATACCGTAACAAAGCAAAAATCTGTACAGGACATTCTGTTGCCATGACCCTCGGCCATGCACTCATATCCACACCAAAAGACACACTTAATTCAAATCCTTCTCAGTCACCTAAAAAAAAAAAAAATGTCCAGAATCACTACTCATATCAGAAAAAAAGAAAGAAAAAAAAACCCTCCATATTTACCAGGGAAGACGTCTGCCTGATATGTCAGGAATAGGGAGAAAGAGTTTTTAGACAAACACAAAACGTAAAAGTCTTAAAGTATTTATAGAATTTTCGTAAAATTAATAGAAAAGTGCCTCAAAATTTTTAGGAGGCCAAAAGAGTACAGATTATTGTCCGACCCGGAGGATTTGGGGCATAATAGAGGAGGCGAGCATGTGTCTGAAATTAGTGCCCCCAGTGGCCTATATGCTCGATGCACGTATGACGGAATCAAAAATAATTGTACAGGTAGGCTCCTCGTTTTCGTTCACCCATCCATGTATAGGGCCTTAAAATTAACGTATCCCGGGGATATTGGCGGTGTGTCTCTGGATGACATCAAGAGCGTGATGGGCACTGGCTAAAAATGTCATCACCCCGGCCATGTTCAATGCAAAAGAACAACCCTAATCAGTCTGATAATGTCTCCTGATTGCCTACGGTGAATGCCCGGGGCCTGAGGTCGGATTCTCGCAGGTCGATGCTCTATCTTGACCTTCAGCGTCTTGAGGTGATACGTTGTGTTCAGGAAACCCGTTTTTCAACTCATGATTATGAGGGTAATTTTTCTAGAGATTCTCCATATATTCCGCTTGCTTTGATGGTTGTTCGAGAGGTGTCTCCTAACTGGTGAGCAAATCTTTGAATGCTGTGTGTACTCTTTTTTTTCGGAGATCCGACGGGCAGGATTTGTGGGCTGGATGTTACCCAGTATCAGCACCTTCTTTTCGAACAGTTTATCTTCAGGTGTCCTGGCTCCTTGTAGATCCTTATTTCCTTTCTCGCATGGGCCTTCCTCTAAATTCTTGAACTGGGGCGGCCCTTGAGCATTTCTCCGGTTCTGTTTTCTAGGGTGGTTTTCTTCAGTGGGGGGGGGTTCGAAGGTTCTTTCTTCTTGACCTCACACCAATTCGTCTCGTGTCCACGATGACCGCATCTACTCTATCCCTGCGCATCGCCATACGCGGGCAAGCCGCTCCCTGTTGAACCGTCCACTGTCCTATGACCTTCGGGACGACAGATCCAACATGTCGACCTCAAGTGGCCTGGTGTGAGTTTAATCTATAAACCAAAATCAGCGTCCTTCTATGGGGAAACTCTAGTTATACCCCCCCCTGCTTAAGTTCCCCAATTCTAAGATAAAACTGTTCAATGCTTAGTCTAACAATTGGACAATTTTGCTGTTACACGCCTTGGATAATTTTGCGGTTACACCCGGTCTATAAACCTTCAGCCGAAAAGCTTACTTTCACACACAGTCATGTAGTGGTTTATATTGCAACTATACTATATATAACATGTGGTTTATACAGCAACTATGCCGAGCAGACCTTAGCGAGAGAGCGTGTTATCTACAGGATCAACCTCGGTCAGATATCGACGGCCCCAAATGTTCCGTCTACCTAATTTCACTCATAAGGCTTGTGCGGTTTTTCAGTCACTTTCCAAATGTGCTGCACGTTGGGATCCCCCCACCCGATAATGTCATGAAGTATCCGTCCTGAAAAATCAACCATGGTGAGATTCGAACCATTCAACCATACTCCCCATATATATATATATATATATATATATATATATATATATATATATATGTGTGTGTGTGTGTGTGTGTGTGTGTGTGTGTGTGTGTGTGTGTGTGTAATGAGAGAGATAGTCATGGACAATGACTTATTGTAAAAATGATATTGTTTTTGTGACGTTAATATTTATAGAAGAGAAATGTTCAAATGTAACTCTTATTTGTCCGTATATTTGATGACAGGAATATCAAAATGCGCTGGAGCATTTTGATATTTCTATCAATATTGCCTCAATGTATTTTTAGTTTTAAATCTGCAATGGACACGGAATACAATGCTTTTAATCTGGAAGTCTAAAATTTAATCTAAATACAAATATAGAGAAAAATATCATTCCGTAATCGATTGGCAACTGAAGACTCCAACTAATTGCACCGTAAGAGCTTCTGCCGAATACGGTTGTAATTTCAGAAAGAACAGTATAAAAACGCCAAGCGAATTTTAAAAGCATTTTTTCACGTTTTTATTTTATTTTACATTAAATTGGAAAATTTTAGGCGCCTATTTGGAGAGTTTTGAGAACAGGAGGAACCGAGTGACATTGAAGAAATGGGTCAACAGATTTTTGAAAAGTACAAAGACTTTGGTTTGAGAGTAAATTATAAGAAAATAAAGAAAATGAAAATGAAAAAAAGTCAAGGAATCAGAGGAGTGAATGAAGAAAGGAAACGGAAGGAAAATATAAGTAAAGAGAAAGTTAAGAAGAAAGGAAGAGAAAGTTGTGTAGAGGAAGAAAGGATGGAAGGAAAAAAATATACAAGTTAATAAAGTATATTTTAAAAATATCATTGTTGATTGAATAAATTGAAAGAAAGGAAAAAAGACATTACTTAATTAAATGATGAATAAAGAAAATGACTTAAGAAAAAAAAAGATTAAAAAAGAGAAAAAAGAAACCGTATTTAAAAAGCTTAACTACAAAAATTACTTGTAAAATAAATAATGAAAGAAAATGATGTGAATAGAAATAAAAAGAAAAGGAAATATATTAAGAGACCAGAATAGAAAATATATGTCGATAAAGACAGAAAAAAAAGCAAGAATGGAAGAGGATGAATAATACTTTATTTAAAAGGGAATAATACAATATAATTAAGAACTAAAAAAAGATACTTTAAATAGAACGAAAGAAAAAAACGTGTAAAAGGGGCGAATATATAAAAAAAAAATAACTGAATAAAGAATGAAAGCAGCTTTTGAAGGGGTAAAGTACATAGTAATTGAAGAAATAAAGAAAAATTGAAAATTCAAAACGAAAGAACATTTTAAATATTCTAAGTACAAAACAAGAAAAAAAGAATCTTTTATAGTGACAAAGTACAAAATTAATGAACTGAAAAAAATAAAAAAGAAAGAAAGATTCTTTTAAAATGTCAAAGTACAAAATGAATTAACTGAAAAAAGAAGAAAGAATGGACTTTCTAAGGGGGCAGAGTACAAAATAAATTTACCGAAAAAAAGAATGAATTTTTAAAGTTTTAGTCTACAAAATTAATTAACTGAAGAAAGAAAGAAAGAAAGAAAGAAAGAAAGAAAGAAAGAAAGAAAGAAATACAAAATCAAAAAAGAAAGAAAGTCATAACTTTTTAATGGTTCAATGTACAAAATGAATTAACTAAAGAAAAAATAATGAAAGAAAGGAAAAGAAAGAAAGAAAGAAGATCTAAACGGTTCAATGTACAAAATAAATTAACCGGAGAAAAAAAGAAAGAAAGGGTGACAGAAAGATAAAAGAAAGTGCATCTGAATGGTTCAACGTAACAAAATTAATTGACAGATGAAAGAAAGAAAGAAAGAAAGAAAGAAAGAAAGAAAGAAAGAAAGAAAGAAAGAATGGGTGACAGAAAGATAAAGAAAGTACATCTGAAAGGTTCAACGTAACAAAATTGACAGAAGAAAGAAAGAAAGAAAGAAAGAAAGAAAGAAAGAAAGAAAAAAAAAGAAACAGAAATCTAAAAGAAAATGTAACAAAATTAATTGACAGGTTCAATGAAAAGAAATTAATTGAAAGAAGAAGAATGAAAGAAAGAAAGAAAGGGTGACAGAAAGATAAAGAAAGTGCATCTGAATGGTTCAACGTAACAAAATTGACAGAAGAAAGAAAGAAAGAAAAGAAAGAAAGAAAAGAAAGAAAAAAAAAAAAGGGTGACAGAAAAGATAAAGAAAGTACATCTGAAAGGTTCAATGTAACAAAATTAATTGACAGAAGAATGAAAAAAAAAGAAAGAAAGAAAAAAGAAAAAAGGGTGACAGAAAGATAAAGGAAGTGCATCTGAATGGTTCAACGTAACAAAATTGACAGAAGAAAGAAAGAAAGAAAGAAAGAAAGAAAAGGGTGACAGAAAGATAAAGAAAGTACATCTGAAAGGTTCAATGTAACAAAATTAATTGACAGAAGAATGAAAGAAAGAAAGAAAGAAAGAAAGAAAGAAAGGGTGACAGAAAGATAAAGGAAGTGCATCTGAATGGTTCAACGTAACAAAATTGACAGAAGAAAGAAAAAAGAAAGAAAGAAAGAAAGGGTGACAGAAAGATAAAGAAAGTACATCTGAAAGGTTCAATGTAACAAAATTAATTGACAGAAGAATGAATGAAAGAAAGAAAAAAAGAAAGGAAGAAAGAAAGAAAGAAAAATAAAATGTAAAATCAAGAATAGAAAGAAAGAAATTTTCAAAGGTTCAATATAGAGAAGAAAGTAACTGAAGGCAGAAGGGAAGAAATAAAAAAGGAAAGGAAGAAAGGTTCAATGGACTTAATAAATTAACTGAATAAAGATACAAAGAAAGAATTGAATGCAGGATGGTCAAGCGAAAAAAGTAAGAAGAAAATTAAGAATAAGATGGAAAGAAAAAATGAGGCTTTGGGAGACGAAATACAAGAAGGAAAAGATCTGAAGAAATAGCATAAATTGAAGAAGGCATCGTTGTACCAAAGCAGAAATGAATGCCAATACATAGAAATTCACATAAGAACGGATAATAAATAGGAAGTGAAGACCGAAACGAAGAAATGAAGGAATTCATCTAATAATGTATTTCAAAGAACTTAGAGAAAACATCAAGAAGAAAAAATAGGCAATATTTAAGAAAGTCTAACAGCAGAAGGTAAGTAAAAAAATAAATAAATAAAACATAAGTAATATCGAAAAGGTCGAGTAACCATAATAAATGCAAAAAAAGAATCGCCAAAATTGAAAGAAACCGAAATAGAAAGACTTTGAAACAATGAAACGCCAAAGGATAAAAAAAGGGGCAAAAAATTAAGGAAAAGATTAAACACATAAAAAATAAGCTATATCCAAGACTATCAGGAAAAAAAAGTAAAAAAGGAGAAAAAAAACCGAAGCTACACAAGCAACGTATATGAAAGGAAACATAAAAAAAAAAACTGCATAAAACAAAAACAAAATATCTTTATCGATTCTGCGTTCGTTTATCGAAGTGTGTTGGTCAATCGAATCCAAAGTGCTCTTAAAAGCCATCACCGTCCATTACCGAAAAGATTGGCTTTGATCTATTAGGTTTCAAACGGAATCAGTTTTATTTTCTGTCTCTGCTTAACAAAGAACATGAATAAACCCAGTTAACGAAGGATCCTTACCGGAGACAATGTGTCCATCGCTCGCAATTACTTTCACATTGTCCACGACAGTTAGCTCTTTCAGTGGCCCTATTAGCAAGAGGTTTGCTTCAAGTTGATGCATTATTTGGATAATGACGTCTTTTACAAGCACATTTATTTTATTGCCTGTGTTTCTTTATCACGGAATGCTCATGAAGTGGGCTCTAGAAAGGAATACCGTTTTTGATAAAATACGGATGTCTGTTGACGATTACGCTATTCCAGCCATATCCCGTAGGCATAATAAAAAAACTGACAAAAATAAACAAAATAAAAGACGATGTGCTGTTTGCAAGAAGGCAGCATTTATCAGAAGAAAATAACTATATAATATTGTGAAGTTTCATCAAACGAGGTCACGTGTAGCGTGATCAAAGGACGCATTTCATACACGGGATCATGACGAAATTTAAAAAGAAGTAAGAACTTCCCAGTTGGAAGTGTCCCTGGAAAGCATTTTTTTTTTAGCGTTTCACCTCAAGCAAGGCGGAAAGCTACTAGCACGCAAGGGGTTACAGAGGATTTGGAGCGAGAGCAGATAAGAGTGATAGAGAAAAGGATGAGGAGAAGTATAGTGGATAGATCAAGGCAATTGGAGATGTCGATTAACATTACATTTGAATAGTTAGCGATTATAGCTCGCAGGGAAACTGGAACAGGGAAGGAAGTTCCACAGGCGAGAGATGCGAGACATGAAGCTATTGGAGTAGAAGAGACGGCTACATTTAATAGTTTCGACAGTGAAGGGGTGAGAGCGGGATGCGAGCCTCGTAGGGCGCTTGAATTCATGAAGTCTGGGAACCAGCGAATACAGATCCTCGGAACAATTATCATTTACTGTCTTTACGCGATAACGCAAAGGGTCAGAGAAATGCAGCGACCTTTACCCTGTGTATATATATTTTTTTTAATCGGTTCCATCTCATACAGTAAAACCCACTAGTACACAAATGTTTACTGAGTATAGAAGAATTAGGAAGCAGTAAAAAATAATAATGGACATAAGAGGAAAGAGTGTTAAGGAGGACGGTAGGTGAACGATTGACATCGCATTTAGATTTTTGCAGATTATAGCTGGTTGGAAACTATGGAACCGGATGGATGTTACACAAGCGAGAAGTGCGAGAAAAGAAACTGTTAGGATAGAATTTACGGTTACATCGACTGTAAATTGAAGAGATCTCGACGCCAGCTAGCACTGGGCTTAAATTCACAAACTCTAGTAAAGAGCGATATTTATTTCCGTATTAATGCAGAAACTGCGGCACAAGGCTAAAATGGTGCTTTGTGGAAAAGGACGGACTTCTTCCGTCTTAAATCTAAATTTAGCTAGCCACAATCTCTGACCCAAACATACCACAACATTCTTTACACCAAAGCAACGCATTCTTACTTACCATTCTTACTACATTCACCATAATACCACATTGTCTCTATGAAAATCCTAACTAGTCTCCATATATACATTCATTGTCTGTAGGAAGAGGGGAATAAAACAACAATTTAAAAAGAAGAGTTCATCAGAAAGATTACCATGAATATATTTATAGAAAGACAGAGTTAAATTTACGGCGGTGGGAAATTCACTGAAGCCGATCTTACCATATAAGGACCAACAATATTGTTGATTCTTCATTGGATGTTATCAAGAGGCTCAAGCTAAATAGCGGAGGCAGAGGACCATATGTGGTAGCAATATACTAAGTATGGACGAAAGTAGACTTATAGATTTGCATAGTATATTCTGGAGACAAAAATTGTTTTGCACGAAACGGTGAACGAACTTTCTTAGCACATTAGCTAGCAATGGATTCAATATAGTCTTTCCACTTCATGTCATCTGAAAACTTTAACCCGTGAAGACGCAAGGAGGCAATTTCCTAGAAAGTGGGAATGTGATGCCATCTATCAACTATTAAGGAATAATCTATTTTTGCATTATTTGAAACCGTCTTTCAAATATGGATGCCCGGATGGTGCAATGGATTGTGGCTCAGTCAGCGAAATCGGAGAAGCGTGTTCGAATTCCAGTGGAATTCGTTACATCCACTTACGCGCAAATACGCTTGGGAACAATATGAAACCATCTCTTCTTCTTCCATCTATGGGTTAAATAGTAAGAAGTGTATCGGTAAAAAACATTATATCCAAAAAGCTTTTAATTCAATATGCAATCGCAAAAAAGTAAAAAAAAAAAAAAATAAATAAAAATAAGTATTAATGAATAATTAGTAAAGTCATTTGCGCCATTTGCAATATTCGGATTGATAACCTCATCTTGGTTGTCATGTTCACGACATTTCGGCCATTTTATGCTCCAACATTCTTCAGGAAGCCTTTATGCCGTCTATCGGGTTAATTTTTTTTTCAAATGCTATGCCTCTTCCTGTTATATAACTATCAGTTATTTCATTTTAACTAAACTCCCCATGTTTCTGTTCACTTCTGCTGTAACCCAGTAGTGAACTCACAGCTATTTAGGCCAAGTCACTGAATTAACAACGCTTTTATTCACTGGGCATCTGTTTATGAATTTTCAGACTTATAATCGACAGAGAACATTAATGGAAAATCCGAGAGTTTACGGAATCAGCGCATATGTCAAGTCACAAAATTTCCTAAGCCGGCCAAGCATCGGTAGGAATACAGTATGGGAACGTGTAATACAGTGTGCTAGAGAAAAACAATAATAACATCAAAATTGTAATATGAACTCTGGTAAAAAAAAAATGACTACTGTTACATTAGGTTTATATGTGCTGAAATGTCGTGAATATGGCAACAAAGATGAGAATGAATATCCGAACATTGTAAATAGTGTAAATAATTACAAATACCGCATCTCAGAAATATAGACAGATCCTGAAGAAGGTGGGAGCGTACAGCGGCCGAAACTTCGTGAATGTGGCAATAAAGATGAGGACAACATTCAAAAAATTTAAATAATGTAAATAGTTACAACAATACTTCATCTCAGAAATATAGACACACTCACAAATTGTGGATAAGTTGTAAAAAAAAACAAAAAAAAACTGAATAGTTTTAATTGAACTATCCCATTTTTGAGGTTAAATTGTGTAGAAAAATTATTGTTATTTCTAAAACTGAAATTGTTAATTGTCGTAGCATAGCTACGGACGATAATGGTTATATCCCCATACACATAGTAGTAAATACTGCATGTTTGTCTGCAGTCGGAGATTCGTTTCTAGCTATGCTGGTCAATCTCTCTGCCTCCATGCAGAGAGGATCCTCATATAAGGCCATGTCGAAGGGCAGAGTCTCGTCTCGCGAAACAGCTACCTGAACCTACCGGGGTTGGGCAGCTGTTTTTTCGGGAATTTTTGGCCGAGACTACAGGCTCGGATACCCCACATTAAATTCGGCTTTGTGTTACATCTGACTGCATGGGGCGGTTGGTAGATATCTTGCAGTCAGAGATTCATTGTGGAATTCACTTCTAGCAGTTGACTACTCCTTTTACGCGCCCCTGGCGAATCTTATATGTGTTGTTCGTGTCTTAAGTATTATCGTCCATTACCAACCTTCGTGTGATTATTCTATTCACTAACCTTCCTTAGGTTACAACATTAAAAATTAAAAAAATGAATCATTCTTACAATCCAAAATATATTACGGATGTGTTGATAAACTGTAAAAAATAAATTGAATAAAATCGCAGAATATGCTTAGCAAAACCACCAAGAATACTACTGACAAAATGCCATTGATATGAAAATTAATTATGCTTATGAATATAATGAATATATAATGCAATTTTAAGAAGATTGTTGTCGATGATCATGGTAGAATATATCATGATCATTGTTAACAACCTGT